GAAAATTTTATCTGCTGTGTCATGGGTGTTTTAAGTATTCACCACACATTGAAGACAAATGGGAGAGCAGAGATGTGGGTCTGTGCCTTCTTAACCTTGCCAGGAGATGAAATTGGTTTGTCAGCTTTGTGCCCCAGTTGCTGTACTTATTTCCCTCAGAATAGTCATTTTTCCTTTGGATGATTCTTGCTTTCCATTGATGTAGTTTGTATTCTGTCCTGTGCTTTACAGTATTTGGCAGCCCATGTGGTTGCTTTTACAAGTTCTTTGTCTTAGGTTCTTCATCACACACCTGCACTACATTTCATTTTCTTTACTTTTCTTGCTGTTAGTAATACAACATGATTTCGTACTCCCGCCATGATTATGTTGGTGACTGGAACCTGTCAGTTAATTCACAGAGGAATTAGTATCTGCAGGTCATATTGCTAGTGCCAGTACTAAGTTTGCAACTGATGGCCACGCCATAGCTCAAGCAGTTAGCCGCTGGCTTCCCACTGCAGCGGCCCGGGTTCGATCCCGGGTCTAGTCAAGTGGGATTTGTGGTGGACAAAGTGGCGCTGGGACAGGTTTTCTCCGAGTACTTCGGTTTCCCCTGCCAATTCTCATTTCCACCAGTTGCTCCACAATCACCCTCACCTATCATCTGGGGCTGGTACAATAGGCCAGAAGTGGCTGCAGTACAAGGGACTTAGTCCCACCCCACTAGCAATAAAAAAAAGTTTGCAACTGAAACTGTAGTATTTGATAATTGTGCAAGGCATGCAGTTATAAATAGAGTCATCATTTACGTATTATGTAGAGTATTCAGATATTATTAGACGGTGTTTTGAAATGTAACACATAAGAATGTAATCTCAGTATGACAGTCTGGAAGGTGTGGCAGCTAGTCTGTGTGAAACTGCTGTGAGAAATGAGCAGTGAATTTTAGTTTAGAATACATCTGATCATGTACAATACATATCTTCCCCCACTGCAGGTAAAGGCACAGGCATTTCCATTGCTTGTGTACAGTAGATGCCTCTTATTTCAAGGAGGGGGCATTGCTAAGCACACCTTATTAAAATGTTCTGAAACTGTAAATTGGATATCATAGTTATTGAGTAAAAGTTGGTTAGTAATTAATGAAGAACTGACATACAAAGAAAACAACTGTAAAAACAGAATTTGCCATAATGTTTGATGTACTCCTGCACTGTGTATATTTGGGTTTTGGAATTTTTCTCATATGGAAATGTAAAACATAACCATAACATTTACAATAGAAACCATCAATTTGGAACAGATGTTAATTTTTTTTAATGCAAGAATGAAAACAACATATTAGGTCAAAACTATTTTTAAGATTACACACATTTGTGCTTGCTTTGGTGATGTACAAGAATGTGTTATTTGCCATTGGTGTCTATGTTTGTGAGTCAGTGACTTAGAATGGTTGCTATTCCAGTCTTATTTTAGATTGTGTAATCTGTTGCCCTAGTTTAACTGTTTATCAAGTCTGCCATAGAAGTACCTGCTTGAAATGCTAAGGCTGCAGGTGTGTAAATGCAGCTTCACAGAAAACCACACAGTACTTCTTTGATTTCCTTCAAATGACCACAGGTATTGATAACATAAAAGCCTATTCTTCCCTTTAAACACCAGTATACAACACTTGATTCCATTTATTGACAGAAATTCTGTACAAAATGGTGAACATTGGGCCAGTCTCTTTAATTGTGACAGTTTTAATGCAAATATGCAAGCCATTCTAGTCCACAGCCCGGAAAGGGGCCATCAGGTATGAACTGAAAATATTTTCCACACTGCATCTCCATTTATGACATGGAAGTCTACAGAAAAAAAGGAGTTTTTATTAAGAAATTTTGATATAAAAAAGACACCTAAAAAAATACGCCCCGTTCCATAATGAGGTGGTATTATGATGCCAGGAGGGGTACGGTATAGGGTAGCTGTTCAAGAATATGTTCCTATAGAATTGTCCCTTCCCGAGTCAACAAGATACCTCTTTTCTAACCAAAAAAGAAAGTGACGTTTATTAAAATCAACAAAAAATAACTTAATCTTGTCTAGTTGCAATCACCTCTCCTCTCTATAGAGGTTATCAAGCCTGGCTGTGACAAACAGATTTCTGCTTACAGAATACAGCAAAATGTGTGAAGTACATCTCGACACTCATAGACTGTAGAGGTCGGCACTCAGCTCTGCCACCTAAGGTTGCCTGCTCCCCCTGGAGGCTGGACCTATGTTCTAGCTTGAAACACTTTTGTCTCTTAACAGAATGATCCACACTTCCTCTCTAACTAACCTTAAAATAACAATTGTTTTCCCAGTGTCTCTTGTAACAAAAGTTACAATTGGATCGTCATCCTCCTTATCATTTTCTCACTTCGAAACCGACAAATGATTGCCCGACACTATTTGTTCGTCACAGGATATATGATTCATCTCAAAAATTGCCCTGATGATCTTTGTTCTCTAATTTCATATTAGTTGGACTTTTCTGTGACCACTACATCCATCGTTAAGCCTATTGTACAGGAAATCAGTGTGGTCTAAACTTCCTGACTTTGCTCATAACATTCTCTTAGTCAGCATCTCATATCCTGTGGGTTTTAACTTCACTCATATACAGTGTGTTCAATAAATATGTATGTAACAAATGATTTGTAATATACAATCAATACTTATTACTGAATGTCCTTATATCTTCCAAGTAAACATCAATATATAACATAAGGTAAAGGTTGTTCCATAACAGTGGGTGTACTGTATTGGAGTCGCTTGAAGTCATATGAAACTAGGAAAGACCAGAATCTGAGAAGACAAGGGTAATGTGCTGTGTAATTAGAGTTTGGTGTGAACTGTTTATTGAATTCAGAGACATGAATTGTACACTTCAGTAGGCTGGTGTGATAGGATGTATGGACCTATATAATTTAACACTAAAGTAAAGTTAATATGACTTATGGTAACATATTTTTAATAATCTAAATAAAACAGTCTTCAAGATTTTTGTTTTATGACATTTGATTGCTCAGTAACCCAGTGGATAAAGGCTATATTTCAGACAGTCATTTCATCAGACATTCCCACAAATGGTTGTTCATACAGGGTGGGGCGCAGAAACTTCCTTTTTGTGAAGGGAGGGGAGGTCGCAGAAAAGTAGGGATAGGCTTGGCGAACGCAGCAGTCGCGGAAGTTTCTGTCTAATACCCCTCAGTAGGAACCATGAGGTGGACGAGTGAGCAGCGTGGGTTAGCTGTCGGAAGCCTATTTTTTGAACAACCATTCCTACGTTGCAGTGCAGCGTTCGTTCCATACTCATTTCAGAATTAAGCCCAGAGGTCTGGTTCTTGACCGGAAATCGATTGTTTTGTGGGTAGAGAACTTTAGGACAACCAGGAGTGTGGTGAAAAAATCATCAGGACAACAACGGTCCGTTACGACGCCAGAAAATGTGGAGGCAGTTCGACAGTCAATTTTGACGCTCCGCTCGCAAACATGCAGTCACCCTAGACATATGCAATCGTTCAGTGTGCCGAATTCTTCACGAACATCTTCATTTCCATTCCTATAAGATGGTTGTTGTGCAAGAATTGTCACCACATGATTTCGAGAACCGAATAATGGCGGGCGAAACGTTATTGGAAACTTTATCCCCTGACGCACTTGTTTTCTTTAGTAATGAGGCACATTTTCACCTATCCTGATATGTCAACAAGCAGAATATGTGCTATTGGAGTGGTAAAAATTCCAGAGAACTCCATGAGAGGCCACTTCACAGTGATAAGGTGACAGTATGGTGTGCGTTGTCGAGAGTTGGAGTTATTGGCCCTTATTTTTTTGAAGAAGACAGTCATGCAGTTACTGTCAATTCACAGCGGTATGTGGACATGATTAAAAACTTTTTCGAACCAGCTCTTGAAGAAGTGCATCTAGGACATGTCTGGTTCCAACAGGATGGTGCCATGGCCCACACAGCCTGAGCTTCGATGACAGTGTTGAGGGTAAAGTTCCACGGACGGCTCATCTCGCTTCGAGGTGACATCCCGTGGGCAGCGCACTCACCTGATCTAACACCCTGTGATTTTTTTTATGGGGATACCTCAAGGCATAAGGTTTTAAACATTACCCTACAAACCTGCTTCAGCTGAAGAATGTTATTCGGCAGGAAGTAGACCAAATTCCAGTGCACATGTTGGAACATGCACAGGGGAACTTCAGAAAACGGTTGCATCAGTGCATAGAGAACAGTGGCCACCACCTTCAAGATATTTTGTTTAAAACTTTAAAGTATGTTCTTTCAGTAGCTAAACATAAATTTTGTCTATCAGCAATAATTTTTCTTTTATTCGCCTTCAAAAAAAGGAAGTTTCAGCGCCCCACTTTGTACAAAGAAAGTAAGTGTATGACATAAAACATCACATTAAATTGTATTACTATATTATATAAATTGTATATATTAGTAACTGTTTAATTGGAGAAAAGGACACAAATATTTAGATCTTCATTAGGCTTATATTACAATGCTAGTTCTCAATATAAAATTTCATAAGAATTTTATTAGTGATTCTGCTTTAAAATACGGAGATATTGGGGTTCCGGACTTCATCCATCGTCCTGGTTTTAAGATATCTAAGAAAAACACGACATTTCAGAAACTGAATCTGTTTCCATCCTCAGGTGAGGGAAAACACCTATTCTGTTGGATCCCTTAGAAAGAGCTAGCCTCAATCATTCATTCGTCCAGTGATTGAGGCTAGCTCTTTCTAAGTGACCCAACAGAATAGGTGTTTTCCCTCACCTGAGGATGGAAACAGATCCAGTTTCTGAAATGTCATGTTTTTCTTAGTTATCTTAAAACCAGGACGATGGATAAAGTGCAAAAACCCAATATCTCTGTGTGTTATACACCATTGTCGGAATCCTATAGTAACTACTGCTTTAAAATGTTCCACCATTTATTTCATGCTCTCATACTTCAGTGATTGTTTCAGGTATCATGCCTGTGGGTCCAAAGCCATCCAACATGCGTTGCCCAGCTTGCCACAGTAATATCAGAACAACAACAGAGTCTCAAAGTCAGTCCTGTGCTCATATTGCTTGTATTATTATGTTCTTGCTGGGGTAAGTTCAAATGATGTAGGTATAGTTTGCTACAGACACAAGTGTGGCATAAAAGTATAGCAATTTGTTTTTAATGTAACTTCTATAAAAGAAAGTTTGTACAGAATAAAACGGGTAATACATCTATCCACAGGAATCTGTTTGGAGCATTAAACTTCCATCTGCTTTTACTGTTAATGGATTTTTGGGTCTGACCTATGTCAGAGATTGTTCATGATCACTACAGAATGCAAAACATCCATATAAATACATAAATAAATATTATATTCTCATAAAAATAAATTGCCATCATATTAATCAACTGAAAGAAAGAAAGAATATGGTCAACAGTTTGGTTGTCAATGTAGCTAGAAATGCTGCAGTTGAGTAGGAGATGGCTACAGCATGTCAGAACCTTCTACCAAGTGTGGGATGTTCCTTGTACAAACATAATGTGAAAAGATTTTACAGATGTTTTGTGGATATGTCAGAACACATGCAGATGTTTTTTTAAATATATTCTGTCTCCCATATGCATAGGTACAGCATTCCATCAGTTAGTATTATTAATATTAAAAAGCAATATAATTTGTACAGTTACTGTAATTGTTACTTTTCATTTGGCATAACAGAAGTTGTACACGTTTACACAGTGTCAGTGTTTGAATTCAGTGGCATGTATGTTGCTTCTGCCCCACAAATTTATATGCTGCCATGTTTTTGTTGCTGCAGGCAGACATAGCATGTCTGGGATGTCCTTCTGTAAGACTTTATTAACAAATGATCCGGTACTTCACAAGGCTTTAGTGGGGAATGAAACACCCTGCAAGGTTGTATTTGTCTTTGAGAACATTCCATAAAGATACACTGTATTTTCTCAAATGCCTCTTCTCTCTCTCTCTCTCTCTCTCTCTCTATATATATATATATATATAT